GAGAATAAAAGTTACGCCTTCTTTCTTTGCGTGAACATTCGGGTGGCGTTATGCAAATCTTCCCACATAGTGACGTAGATATGTGGGGGCGTATATAGAATGAGCCGTTTTAGGTAGGCGTGGCTGACTCTTAACTTTTATAAAGAATATCTCTTTGGATTTGAGACTTTAGTCTTTGCAACTTTACAGATCTTCTTTATGCACCAAGAGCTTGTAACACTCCAAAGAGAAAGGAAAACTTGAAATCGCATCATATGAACCCTTTAACATGCTAAACCCAGCTTGGACAAGTTAGCAGTGTGTAGTAATTTTCTAGGGCTGCAGCGATCATTGATCAAGCTGTCGATTAATAAATAATTGACAGATTAATCAAGATAATTGTTGGTTATTTGATGTTAAATATACAGCTGTGTGGAAAGTGACTTTGGACCAGTGAGACCTGCTATCTGTGCTGTCAAAACCAGTTATCACTTTTATTGCTTATTAAATGGATGCAATTGAAGTGCTTTTATATGAGATTAGATATGATTAAGCGTTTCATATATATATATATATATATACAGGAATACAAGCTCGCGCTGAGCCTCACTCTGTTTGTCTCGAGACTTCAGAACAAATGAGCGTGACCGCACACATAAACGCAGAAGAAACACACGGAGGTAAAAATTCTAAATGTTTAGTTTATTCATAACATGATAGTTAAATAACACCATGACAAGTGAGCTATTTTCTTATACTCCAGTTCACACGGAAGAGTGCCTTTTTTTCTCCAAAAATTACCAAAATGTGATATTGATTTTTTTACAACAGTTCAATAAACTAGAAGTTTTATTAAGAGACTTACGTTTTAGACACCAATATTGCCTGTTTTTGCACCATTTCGCCAACAAAAATAACTCCAAACAAAGCCACAGCGCTGTTTTGCGTCTCTGAGCAACATGACGGTGTTTCGTTCCCGAATGAATCACTCGATTAAATGATTCGGTTCAGTCGCAATGACTCACTTATTAACAGTGACTTGCTGCCACCTGCTGGCGGTTTTAATTTCAAATTTAAAGTATCTTTTCATTTGTTAAATTATTTCAAATATCAGTATTCAATGTTTTATGTTTAATATATCAAAACGTTATTTATGCATTTGTAACTGC